AGAGGAAACTAGTGTTAGCAACGGTACAAAAAAAAAGGACATTGACTGTCATTTCATGCATTTTAATTTGAAAAAACTTCGAATTAAGATGGCATTTTTGAAAACTAAATACTACATTCTATCAACTATTCATTGGACTAGAAGATCTCTATCCTAAGTGTTTTCTGAACATGCCTAGATTTTCAAACACAATCGGTATACTTGCCGTTAGCAACGTGAAGGAGTGCAAATGTGCACACGAAAGAATACTCTTATAACCAAACGACAAGTTCGAAACTCATTCCAAATGATAAAAGTTCTTCTTCAGAAACTCTAGATGGTGGTAAGACAAATATTTTATTTTTGAGATTTGACAGAATCTGTACAAAACTGGTTTTGAGGAAGAAGCCTTCTTGAAGTTCGACCTAGCTGAAAATTTCACTATAGATACAACTCATATCGTTGTGCTTATCCTAATCTTGTCCAATATTTTTTCATATGGCTATTCGCTGATTAATTTTTACTTAATAGATAGTTGATAGAGCCAACATTTTACGTATGTCTATACTAAAAGAAGTTGTACAGAAAAGTAACCTTCGTAAAGATTCAATGTTAAATGAAGGATTTGTAGGTCCCATTTTGTCTAAATGATCCACGCGTAAACTTACCTGACAGTTTTGAATAATCACGAGGTTGCATTGATGATGGACGAAAATTTTGTCGAAAAATACTTGGACATAATATAATTGATGAATTCATTTGATTAGTAGACGATAATGATGAATGGCGACGACGAAATTCTAGCACTGTACCATTTAATAAATGTTGATGAATTTTCGTATTTTTATCATCCTTGAAACGAAAGTAGACCAGATAAAAAAAGTTTTTACAAACTGGAAAAAAAGAACACATCTAGATTATCGTCCCTTCATTTAAAAGTCATGCAAAAGCATTTATAGCAAACGATGATAGACTTCGAAATAGTGCGAGAACGAAGATATAAAGATTGAGTAAGCCGATTGGCTTGATCATGCTGAAGATCAACTTTATAAGGAAAAAGCTTTAGATCGATCTTTTTTCTACTCACCAATTTAAGATGAACTTTTAATCCAAGTAATATTTCACCGCGTGGTTTATCAATGTTTGAACAATTTTGATTTAATCCTGTTAAGGGAAGCCATTGGTCACGGCCAAATGCAGCTAATGACTATAAATAAAAAAGAGTATTTAATTTGAAAAATGTAATGTTAGTGTCAGAAATGATACACTTCCACACTAGACGAAGATTAAGGTGTTCCATCTAGTATATGTGACTTGGGACATCCGCTGGGATAGCAGAAGGTGTGTGGTTCCAACCGTACGAAGGGAATCTTCTTCTTCATTCGGTTACATAACATTAGTGACACTTCTTAGCCCATAAGCAATGTACGTATTAGAGCTTGCATGAAAAAGACGAAACTATAATTACTTTAATATCAAAACTAACTTCACCAAGAAAATCATCTTTAATTTCGCCTGTTTTTATGAAACTTCGAAGTCCACGAAGTTTGCTAAAATAATCAAGTAAAAATGAAATATGTTTGAAACAGAAAACAATAAGTTTTACCGCGAAACACCTCGTTTTTCTTGAACAACTGTTTTAAATCCTGCCTCTTGATCACAGTCTGAATCAAATACTCTTATGAGTAAATGTTGTTTTTGTACATTTTCAATCTCACTAAACAGATTAAAACAATGAACATTCTATTTTAGAGATGATCAATAAGGAAACAAAAAGATTAATCAAGATTAAATAAAACTGTAAATTAATATAACCAACGTACAATTCAAAATGTACATTCCATTCAGGATTAATAGTTTTTGGTTGAACTTCGGTACGATAAATAACACTTTTTAATGCTTTATTCTTATTAGATAATGTTACTGATAAATGATCTAATGAATGTCTTCGACTACTACTTTTACTACTTGGTTGGCTACTTTTTGCCCTTAGTAATTTTAATTTATTCTTTGAACCTAAAACAAAAAATATGAATATTATTTTCGGTGAAAAACTTTTGCGACTCAAGATACATGATCCACTAGCGCAAGAAAATAAGAATGGACATCGTTTTGAACGATTAGGTGATGTTGACGCTGATATAGATGATGACGATGATGTTAATTCATTTGAATCATCTTGTTTGCTGGGAATATTTATAACACTCACTTCACAATAAGGATCACTAAAACCTATTNGAACAATTGCGATTATGAAGATGATGAACAATGTTTTTCGATTAATGGCTCTTGTTCGACATATGGATCGAAAATGCATTTCAAATGTACTACAAGAGATCTTTGTATTCCTCCGACATTGATTGAAAATGGTTGGTGTGATTGCGGATATAATGAATATGATTTCTGTGATGATGAAAGGCTAAATCTTCATTATCCCAAAAAACATATCTCATTTCCAACAATTTCTGGTGGTTTTACAGAATTAATACCTGTTAGTATCGACGGACGAAATGAAACCGACGAAACTGAATGTGAATATTGGCACTGTAATAACACTTACACTTGATGTGACAGATCTTGGAATTGTTTCAATGGAGTAGATGAAGTAGATTGTGATCAATCACCAATATTGAGATGTCCGTTTCATCATCACATCTGTGTCTCACCTGAAACATATCAATTCATGTGTTTGCCTCTTACAAACGCCAATGACGGTAATATTGATTGCTTTGGTGCTACTGATGAGCCATAACTATGTCGATCAAATACTTATGAACTCAGCAATGTTAACATTTATTGCACCATTGGTGACCATGAACATTGTACCTGTTATATATCTTTATGCTTCTATAGAAAATGCAATTATACAGATTATGATAAAATTTGTGACAATACTCTGAACAATATTGACTATTTTGCTATATGTAATGACGAATATACAACTGTTCGTTCTGATATTGCAAATGTTTTTTTGTGGACGTCTAATAGATTTTAGTAGACAATCCATTGTAGCATATTTTTCATTTGATAGGATTAACCACTCAATCGAACAAACAATGAAACAAAACACAAAAATAATAAATTCAAATTCAAATTCATATATCACTCGACAAGTTGCTCTTCAACATTAACAACGTTGCCATCGTGGCCTTGTTCTTAAAGTTTGGCTAGATTATGAAAAAAATCTAACGACTGAAACATGTCTTTGTCCATCTAGCTTTTATGGAAATATGTGCAATATCAAAATCAACGAATTAGTCTCACTTTGCAATTTCATGCATATTCTGATTCTCGACGAATTGTATTTGCTATTGTTGTCTCACTCATTGATGATAGTGATGCACGAATCATTCATTCACACCAACAATTTAGTTATTTATACGTACGAGATTGTAAAATTAAATTCAACATGTATTTACTAGACTCAACTCGACCAAAAGATTAAAAAAACATTATTCAATACATATTGATATCTATGAAAAAGTATCGCTTGCATATTGAAGAAGTTTTTTAATACCACTTAAATTGCCTTTTTTACCTGTACATCATGTCCCTGTACAACTCAGCATTCCACGCACAACTGATCGTGTGGAAAATTGCTCAAATCAACAATATGTTCATGGTCAATGTATTAAGTATTCAAACAATCCAAAAGGTATTACTTTTTGTCGTTGTTAACGAGGACGGTCGGGACGATATTGTACTATCCCTCACAACTGCACATGCTCGTCTGACTCATTATGTATTGATATGTTAGCGAACAATCGATCTTTGTGTGTTTGTCCTTTGAATAAGTGGGGTTCTCAATGTCTATTCCAAAATACAATATGTCAATCTAATCAAAATATTATATGTTATAATGGTGGTCAATGTATATCTACTGATGAACATGTAGTATCGAACAAAAAATTTAAATGTATTTGTCAAAAAGGTTTCACTGGAGACCGATGTGAAATAACGGATAATAAAATTCTTGTATCATTTCATCGAGATATCGTTTTACCAGACTCGTTACTTGTTCATTTCATTCAAGTGATTGACGGTACTCCACCGACAAATGACAGTACTTTCAAAAGGATTCCTATCAATCAAAACACAGTGATAATTAATTGGTCATATCCATTTCACATTGCCTTGGTTCAATTTTTCAATAAATACTACTATTTAATTACTGTTCAAAAGAAATATCATCAATCGACAACCATTACTCGAGAAATTCAACCATCAAATCGTTGTCCACATATAAATGAAGTATTGAATGAGACAATTGTTAAATTTCATCTTCTGCGTCGTATTAAATATTATCATTTACCGTGTCAAAGACATTNGAAGAGTAGAATGCTTTCTGTACTCTTATTATAGTCACAATTGTTAAGAATATGGAAAATTCTGCAAGCTTGACATACTGAACATTATTCGATAATTTTTTTCAACAATGAGCAACTCGAACAGATGCGATTTGTTGCAATGTATTCAAAGTATTTGTCTCGGTCACTATAAAAAGTTAAAGTGTAAATGTTTGTCTACACCATCAAATAAGACGAGTAGAAATTGTTTCAGAGCATTTTCTGTTTCGTAGAACATTGATAATTTTGTTGTTCACTAAACGAACAATTATAATTTTTCTCAAAACTTCAGATTTAACGAGTCAATATGTATTTTAGCAAGTTTCTGGAATTTTTCACGTGCGACATTATCAATCATAGAAGAAGACAAGTCGATTGCTGTTGTGTTGCAATTATCATTGTAGAGAGAACTGTTACAGACTGATTATATTGAAACAAGCTCTCTCCCATAGTAAACCTTAGAGAAATTTCTTTTTAGTGAGAATGAAAAGATATTGTTGTCATGAGAATGAATTTTTTCTAGGCAAAAATGAATTTCCTCTGAGCGTCTAATGAAAGATTAATTTGCATAACGTTCAGTTTGCCCGTAACATATGTGTACAAAAACTGAAGAGCAATGTCCAGATTGAATTATAGTCTTTACTTACATCTGAAAAATCTAACCACTAAGATATTCACAGTAAATGGCAAGCTAATGATAATGTATGTTGATTATTTGTTAAATATAATAATATTACGAATAAACTGGATCACATCTATCAAACATTAATTCAGTGACAAAAAGCGTCTGATTATACGTATTTTACTTGAGAGTATTGTTGAATGATTTGTTAAATTAAAATAACAGATGATCAAATTTGATAATTGAGAAGTTTTTTTTTCAAGATTTAGTAATCAATCAAAATAAAAATAAAGTAAAAAAATGATAAAACAACCTATTTTTTTTCAAAATTCATAAGAAATCCTCATGATAGGATGATCTGTGTATTATAGTGTCTCAATATTTTGCCCAAAATCACATTAAAGCAATAAAACACGAAATGATAATAGAAGAGTAATTTTTGATCGATTAGATCGATCACAAAAAATGATCTTCCAATAAAATCTTCTTATAATTCTTTGTTTATATCAAAAAATGATCAAACTAATGCAATGACATTAGCTACTAGTCTATGTGTTCTTCAAACACATGAACATGCTGGACAAGTTTCGTATACATTCATATTTTATGCCTCAAATGAAAAAAGAATCGAAAAATACAGAAACGAAGTCAATTAATAATAATAATAATCTTCATAACAGTTGTATTATCATCTACATAATTTTGAGATAGATCGAAATATTCTGAAATGATTTCATATAAAAATAAACAGATAAAGTAAAATTGTTAAGCATAATAAGAGAGATTATATTTGATAACATTCTCATTTCTTCATTAACCATGAGTTTTCGAATTCTAACATGTTCTATTGATATTAAATAGTCTATTATATTCCTTCAATATTTGTTCAACCACATCTAATTTCTCTGTATTTTTGGGTACTTTAGATCTTATCTTAAAGAAAAGTACTGATTGATAGTACTACCGATGGCAGAGATTAGAATATGCATGATTTACAATTACAACATCAACAAGAATTAGACTAAACATCAAATTAAATCAAACGAGAAACTCATTAATATGAAGAAATTGAAGTAAAATCACGTATTAAACATGTTCCTATACAATGGTTATTGTGATCACGAGAATTCTATGATCAATTTTCTGTGTATCCATCAGAAGAATCGAATGATTCAGGTATACTTTTCAAATACATAACTATAGCTGAAGTTCAAAAATTGATCAACAATATTTAATAACACAAAGAAGTTCTGTTGAATATAGTTCTTTTAAAATCTCATCTCTAATAGCAAGCTCAAGCATAAAAAGATAGAAAAACCATCCGAAAAATAAATGAAAAAGACAAAACAGAAATAAACCCAACAAGCAATGGAAAAATTTGTCATGTTTTATCATTCCCATTTTATGTTTTCTAGAAACCAAATATGAACTTGCTTGCTTGTATGTTTGCATAGGCGTGTAAAGTCACGTGTACACATATATTTGTGAAAGCCTTGAGCAACTATTAGAAATCTTGTTATTTCATTTCCACAGTCCAGTCGATCATGTATTTTTGTTATTGCCGTGCTATCCAATTAGATGCTTTTACCGAAACTGGGCAAGTCAAGCCAGGTCTGACTTGACTTGATCCACAATAATTTTGAGATTTCTTACAGGCACTGTTTGTTACCATGAGATAGAATTCTTAGATTATTAAAGCTGATCCTTACCTGATAAATGCTAGAAAATGCTATATTCTGTCTAACTTTTAATCAGTCTTGACTTAACTTGAAGGAAAAAAATTTCGAGGAATGACTTGACTTGTAACTAGAGAAACCTCTAACTTGTCCAGCTCTGACTTCTACTATATAGTTCTCGTCCAATCAGACTTTTCCGCTACCTAGTTGGATATGGGTGTGGATATGAGTATTGTGGTGCGCTGTATCATGTTGGATGTAGAGGCGTGGGAATGCCTGTACATATTGTTGTATTGGGCGAATATGGTGGTGGGTAGATATGGCTATGTTTGTGCGTGTATCAGTGTGCGTGCAATTATTTGAAGAGTGAATAGAAGCACTACGCTGCACCCTCACCGACACCATCGCTGACATTTTCACCAGCACCAATATGCACAAAGTATACCCAAGCTACAGTGACGAGTTTTACTTATTCAATTTATAGTCCACTTCAGAGAGCATTATTGAAATAAGCATTTTATGTACTCGTATCTACATTGTCTCGATGCTATAAAACTTTAGTATTCTGAATCATTATTCAGCTTCCGGTTGCTCCAAACGGAAAATGTTAATGGCTTGTTTTTAGCCAATACACGTGAAAACGCCTAAACTGTACGGTAGCAACAATGTAAATACAAATTCTAAACTGTCTGTGTTTTACAGTATTTACTCAGATGCAGAAATACAGTCGAGGTTTTGATAATAACATAAACAGTCAGTATATAATTCGTTCAATGTACATTGCGGCTATTGAAATCAATCCTTAAAGTACTCGTAAACGGGCTGCACTTTCACTGTTTTCACACTAAAAACTATGTTAAAACTGTCTTATATTTGTGATTCATAGGTTGATGTTACATTATCACTATGATGGAGTAGCTGCCTCATTCGAGTTCGTATATAAATGGAGATTTCAAAAAAACAGACATCAGCATATAAATATTCTTAGCCAAAGATTTTGTTTTAGTTACTCATACTTAAAGTTCATATCTATGCATAGATATGTGGATATATATAAAATGATAACTAAGCATCACTAAAACTAAATCTATTCCTATTGTACAGTGAAATTACGGTTCAAGTTTTTTTGATTTATTTTTGAAGTTATACCAAGTAGCTGAATGTTCTTTCACCATCTTGATCTCTTTTACGTATAAAATTTGACGATCATCTTCTTTAGAATTATTAATTAGCTTTAAATATCATCACATTTATCATTTTGTATTAATAAAGCATTAACTATTAGTATAAGCATTACTACGGTAACAAGTAAGACGAAAATAAATTTGAATCGAGCGCAAACAACTGAGACTTCGGTTGTGAAGTTCCATGAAGTCTCTTAAAGTCGGCTGCTTCCCTCTCGGTTCCAATACAATCATTTCTTGATAGAAATTCTTGTAAACAAGTATACATACTTCATCGTGATGAAGGTATACACATTATTTTTTTTCGTATTTTTTACAGCGTATTATCATCACAAGATAAAATATAAATAATTACACACAGATAATCTCACTTTATTTCATTCAGTAAACAATGTTTTCTATCGCTTTTATTCTTGTCAAATATACTTCGCCTCTCATCTATGATTTATTGTAAATTAAATAAGTTAATATCAAATGATAACAATGACGTACTATTCTTTATTTACAAGAAAATGTTGTTAATGTTTATTTATTATCTTGTAATATTTATTTGTCGTTATTTTATTTAGTTAGCGTATATAAAACAAAATATGAAAATTTCTTGAAGTTTTTTTGTTTCTCTGCAAACAATCCATGATACTTTAATGTGATGGTGCAACACATACACGAGGACAATTACCACAACATTTGAGATTTCGTGGACAATCAATATCAGTTGTGCACTCAGCATAACAAGCGCCTATCTTATTGAGTGATGGTGGACATGAACCTGGCTTTTTAGTTGTTCTCACTGGTCTTGTTACAGGTTGATGATAAGAACGACAACAAACAGCATAAGCATCATTGGGTGCAATAACACATATATAGTTCGATGGACAATCTTTATGAGTAGGACCACGACCACAAAAGTAACCTGGCAATGGAGCGTGTCTGTTTCCACAAGGACTTAGCTTACATCTGCAAGTTGGACAACCTTTTTTATCTAATACATTACCATATTGACAATGATTACGACATATTGTACAGCATCTTGGATCTTTTATCGTTTTAGAGATAGTGATTGGTGCTAAAACACATATGAGTAAAATTGTAAAACGAAGCATTCTTTATTAAATATGATTTAATGTTTATGCAAAAACCAACTTGTATTTATATCATACCAAAACGACTGCGTCAAAACCTTCTTGTTTACCTTACAATGCTTTTGTTATTAAGTCTCTAATCATGATTTTGACATCAGAAAAAAAAATCGTAGGCAATGATAGATAAGCTGTATGTATTATATTACTCTTTATTATTATCACTATGCATGAAGGATTTTTTTAATATCTACATTACTATTTTAAGAAGGATGACAAGAATAAATATATACCTTAATGGGTTATATTGTTTAATCGGTTTATGTTATCCATGTTAAGGATAAATATACCATTGTAAGTTCACAGCCAAAAACAAATAAATGTTTTCTTATAAAAATAAAAATAAAAAAAAAATGAAATATCGTTGACCTGCACTTAATCATTGAATAGTAATAAAATTGATTGAAAATCAATTTATTTCAAATTTTCAACAATTTCTAAGCTATTGAAATTATTTACGTAATAGACTTTCGGCGTATATACTTCATAAAATTACAATATATACTCTTTAGATACGATGAAGCTTATTGAACAATTTTAACATAAATTAATTATTTATTGTTTGTATTATTATTTAATATAAAAACTAATTCTTAGCTTCTATTCGTTTAATTATTTCTCAAACTCAAACTATTTTATAAAACGTAGCTCCTTTCTCCGCCCTTTCGTGCTAGAAAATTTTTTGTTTTTTTATAGTTATGGTATAGTCTGAAGTAGTATCTAGCTAACGTGTGCTTTTTAGAGTGTAAAAGTTGTTTTTAAACGTTAAAAAAATCAAATTTACATTAATGAAAATAACGACAACTGTATATTGTTTCACGTTTTTTCTCAAACCATTTTGTTCATGAAAAATTAAATACAGAAATGTCTCTGTTTCTCCTGTTTCATACGTCCGATCGAGTCGAAACTTGTCGTCATACAAACTGTCCATTTTATGGGATGGATAGGTATCTTTGTTACAAAAAAATATTGTTCTACTATTTTTTGATTGCTGTAACAAAAAAAAACATGCGTTTTTAAAGATATTGTCGACTTTTTGGTTTTTTTTTAGTCGAAGATAACATCTCGTAGGAATGGGGGCAGAACAGATCATTGTGATACCATTATCTCATAGAAGACAATATTTAAGAACCTTGAGCCTATGACAACTTTTGCTGTACTCGTTGACATCTACTTACTGTGAATATTTCAAAATTTTCAAATGAGTTGTTCTCCAGAAACCCCAGAAAAGATGATCAATCTTCATGATTAGATAGCTTTTTTAGGTTTTTTTCCAAATATATAAATTTCTTTATATTAATGTTTTTTGCTATTTTGAAAAAGTTATTGTAAGTTTACTATTAGTTAAGATATTTCAAAATTTTATTTCTCATTCAAGCTGATATATATTGTAAATTAAAATCATAGACTTCAATGATAAGAATAACATATCATTAACACTAATACGTAGATGTGAGAAATACATCATTAATCTAATAGACATTCGTCATTATGGATACAAGTATAGTTTTTGAATGGTCGATGTCAAAATTTATATGAGATTTTTTCTATATTTCATCTCATTTGCCCACTTAACTACCTATCGAACGTTCGTTATTATTGATGGTAAATTCATGCTGGCAAAATATGCTTTTCGAGAATGTTTTTGACGTGAAAAGAAATAAGACATTAATTGAAAAATGATTAATAACTTGATAATAAACAATAATAAAACATGAAGCTATGCGATAGCTTAGTTTTTATTCATTTTATTGTGCGAAAACTATATAAATAACGTGGATGATTTATGTTTTTCGTTCTTATTGAAATAATTGGTTGAATTATTATTCATCTAAGTTACAAGTAGGTAAACAAAAGAAAAATTTCGTTTTGCAAACACACGATAGTATCTATTACTCAGTGCAAAATGAAAAAAGAAATAGTTATTTTTCGTATTTGTCCAACACATCGTCGTAGGCGAAAATCACTGAGTCTGTGATTTACATGAATATGATATTTTTGTTAGGCTTTTGATTTGTTTTACAAAAATCATGTATATGTCAAAGAGTAAATGCTATATTTATACGTATTACGGAGAATGAGATAAAGATAAAAATTCTATGAGAGATATTTTGTTGTTTTACGACATCGATTGTTAGTGATAGTTTTCATCTCGATATGAATAACTTCGGTTTTCTATTTTTTTACTGTAATACAAAGGAGAAAAACAATAATAATAACTTCTAAATTTGAATCTCAACAGTCATCAATACAATGTTATTTTTAATTGATAACTTATTTAATAGAAGTCTCTCTTGTTTGAAACTTCAATAGTGCAAATTCTGTTAATATGTTCTCCAAACTTGTCAAAAGATGGGCCGGAAAGTATCTTATTTGTTAAATTTGGTTTTAGTTCAAATAGTTTTCTACTTAGATAATGATATATGCTATTGCTTGTAAACAACAAAATCAATATTCAAGTATCTCGTTCATTTTGTCAGGTTTATTGAACTCAACAATTTCGACCATGATCATATTTGTTATATCCTATCTAATATTAAATAATATTACTTTCTTTTTCTTATACACATAATATATATATATATCCTATGAATTATTATTTCATAAAATTAGATATATTCTTATGAAAAAAAGCTATAAAAAAACATCACTATAACACAAGTATGCTTGCTCCGAGATTGAATAAATTCTTGATATTTAACAAAAAAATCTATTTAATTTGATAATAAAAAACAGATGTATTATTTGCTAATAGATTACATATATATATGCTCTCATCTATGATTGTATTCGTTGATAACGAGGACACCATAAAGCATAAGCATCATCGAACCGTAATGACATAACGTTGTGTTAATGGACAATTGCTATGATTAGAACCTCAAAAAAAGAAGAATAGCCTTCGAGTGATGTTTGTTCATCACGACAAAAGCTATTTGATTTATTTGTATGCTTTCTACATGTACATGTTGAACATCCATTCTCATGAAGTACTTTTCCATATTTGTAATTTATATACATATATATATATTACACATGCTCGACTGTATTCAGTACGTGACAAACATTCTGACATAGCGGGTAATGTATATAAGGAAAGTGATAAAACGGAGCACTATACAGTTAATGTTTATATAATATATACATTAAATGTATTCTTTGTATATATATACTGTTCGAACATGCAATATGTATGTTCTTTGTTTTAATCTACTCAATAGATTTATGAATGTTATCGAGCAAAATTGCGCTATCTAAGAGTAAAGATTGCAGATCTGTTAGATGTAAGTGAATAAATTATAATAAATAAGTTGTTTATCTTGGACAATGAAACATCTTATGTTTTTGATCAATCGTCATAAAAACAAAGAAAATGTACTAATTTAGAATGAATTGTATAGCAAAAAAAAATTATATTATGATTAATAGGCGTACTAGGAATTTGAGTTCAATAAACTACACATGAAAACATACAAATTCAAACAATTAATGGTTTTTTTTTTTTGTTTTTGAAAAATATGATGAAGTTTTAGACATTTTGAATGTGAATCGTGTATATACATTGAAGGATAGTGACACTTTTGTGTACTGTGTTTTTGGTTATTTGAGAATTTATAATTGCTGACGTACTGAGATAGGAATCAGTTACATTATTTTAGCAATTAAACCGGTGAATTTTGATTAAATGGTATGTAAATCAAATTTAAATATTCATTTGTCGCCTTCTCGAATATCATTAGTGTCAACTGTTATTCGTTTTTTGAAGGTCAGTATTTACAAATCAGATTCTATGGAAAAATAAAAACAAGGAAAATATTAAATATTCATAGAAGATAACTTTCTGACAGCTTCGAACTTTTATGTATACCTTATTGTGTTTCATTGATACAATCTTGTCAGGTTTTTTTCTATCGATGTACAAATGAGTGTCGTATGATAAATGATTTTTTTTTTGGCGATCTTTATCCTTCTTATCGTCAATAAACAGTTACTCATCGAACCATGTGTGTAAGATTAATCTTCTAAAAATCCTTGTTCATCACTGTGGGAGCTTCTTTGATTTTTATATGTAACATGGCCATTATTATCCAACTGTGATCCACTCAAATAGATTACATGACAAGAAAATGCATTATAATATATCAATGTTTTCATGTTCAAAATGATCATTGGTATGATTGCATATTACAGGAAGAAAACTGTAAAACAATCATTATTCATTAATTTCTTATCTTCATAAAATCTACTTGCATTAAAACAATGCAAATCAAAGAGAGATTATTTAGATTAGCATACATTCAAGAAGAAAACACTTTTTTTTCTGTCTTACTCAAGTCTAATAGAAAGATTTGTAAGCAGTAGTAAGCAGAAAAAAATAATATCGAATCATTAAATTCATCTGTAGATTTTCGTTTACTCAACAGTTACGTATAAATTATGGAACGTTTACAAATTATCCTAAACCATATAATAAAAAAAGATCTTTAATAAATTAAATTCGTCTTATGTTCGTTTCATAATTACACTGTATTTTATAAAAGTATATAAAAGCCATCGTGACACACCGACTGATGATATATGTATATATTGGACAGGTCTTGATAGGTTTTGTCTAGTAACACCAATTGTCTTACATTCGAATGATGCTATAAACAATCTTATTTTGATAGCATATTCTTTTACTCATATGTTAATTAGAATTATTTTTCTTACAAAGACAACACTTCTAGTTACTTTTTTGAATTATTTCATATATCAATCGATAGCATTCGTTGAGTTGTACACAAGACCATAATATACCAATATTTAAAAAATTCTATTTACTCAATTTTCATCGTATTTAATGTTAGTTTGATTACTGAACTATTGTTAGTCTTACGTCTCAGAGTCATAATATTCAAGACCCGGTCTTGATCACACTACTTTAAATTTGAACCAGAACACGTATGGAATGCCAATCGATG